GCCGCGCCTGCCGGGCCGCCTCACACCACGCACCTGCTCCGGGACCTGCCTGGCTTCCCGGTGAGCGGGGAGTTCCTGGGCGACAGTGGTTGTGGCTCCTTTAAAGCTGTGTCTTCAGGACAGAAGTCAGGGCCCGGCCGAGCGTCACAGCTGTTCGCTCACGAGAAAAGGAAGGAGTGAGTCCTACACACCCCTGTCCTGCTCCTGCTCCCGTGGTGCGTAGGACTCAGAGCGGGGTGTCCGGGAGGTTTAGGGCTCAGAGTGGGGTGTCCTGGATGTTTAGGGCTCAGAGCGGGGTGTCTGGCGTGTGTAGGACTCAGAGCGGGGTGTCTGGATGTTTAGGGCTCAGAGTGGGGTGTCTGGGCTGTTTAGGGCTCAGAGTGGGGTCTCTGGGGTGTTCAGGGCTCAGAGTGAGGTGTCCGGGAGGTTCAGGGCTCAGAGCGGGGTATCTGGGGTGTTCAGGGCTCAGAGCGGGGTGTCTGGGGTGCGTAGGGCTCAGAGCGGGGTGTCGGGTGCGTAGGGCTCAGAGCGGGGTGTCTGGGGTGTGTAGGGCTCAGAGCGGGGTGTCTGGGAGGTTTAGGGCTCAGAGCGGGGCCTTGGGGGCGAGGACAGGGTTCCTGGCCTCCGGGAGCCAGCAGCCCGGTAGCACCGCTGACCACCAGGTGGCGCTGCGCTGCAATTATGAAGCCCCCGGGGCCCAATCCCTCTGGTTCCACATAAAGGACCCGAGTGCAGACCGTCTGGTGAGCCGTCTGGGACGTGCTGGTCCTGAACGTTTAGTTGTTGGTTAAGGCTGAGATCGGACTGGCCTCCTGTGTGACCAGCCCCACGAGAGAGGAGCCGGCCCGGAGGAGGATTCTGGTTACCAGGACGTGTGGGGACCAGGACGTGACTCAGTGAACCCGTCCTGGAAAGAGGGGAGGGGACTGCGTTCAGCTGTCAAGGATGCAAAACCCACACGTGAGGCCACGCGGTTCTGATGGAGACACCCCGGGTGAGG